GATGAGACACTTTTGTTCATGATGAAACCAAAAGAGTTAATTAGCTACACACTAATGCCAGCAATTTTTTTCAGTAAGTTGGGATATATACTATGTAGTAAGTTGCAACAAAGACCTTGCCTATTTGTATAAAACTATCAATTATACTTTTAAATACATATATGTAGACTCTTATTGGCAAATTAGACTATGATATCCTGCAAGGTTATCCTTCAAGCAAAATAAAGATATTCCAAGATAAAGGTAAACTAAAAATATTTACAGCTACTACTGCAGCCTTGCAGAAAGTACATAAGAAATTCCTAAACATAGAAGAGGATGATTGCAACCACAAGAACAAGTGACAGACTAACTCTCCTTAGGGAAGGGAGAACCAAAATGGTGGAAAAATACAGCAGCAAAATACAGCCTTTCCAAGACCCTGAACCCAAACATCCAGAAAATAACAACTTGGCAAAAAGAAAAAAAGAAATAGATCTCTGCCAATTGGGAAGGAACTAAGAAGAAAATTAGAAGCTGCAGAGAAGATGAACACAGGGAGCACAATGCAGAGAAAAAAATGAAGCAGTCTGGAAGTCCACTCTGGCTTCCAGGGAGGGGAATCTGTCTCTGCAAACACAAGGTAAACCCCCAGGTTTGGGAGCTCCATAGAGAAACAATGGACCAGGTCAGCAGAGCTAACTCTTAAGAAAAAGCCCATGGCTATTATAAACTGCAAACACAGTGTGGGATTTTACTCCAAAAGTGACTCCTTCTACATAGCAGGCAACGGTTGGAGATGGAATCCAGTGAGCAGCCACCATATTTCCAGAGAGTGTTTAGTCAGGTGCCAGTTTAAGAAGGGGTGGATTGTTAAAGACTGAGTCCAGTAAATTGAGACCATTCACACTGATGGTTATAACTGATATGTATTGACTTATCCTTGTCATATTATTTTCCTGTTGTTGGTTCCTTTCTTTCCTTCCTGTTCAATTGCTTGCCTTACATGGTGGATTTATTCTATTGGTATTATTGGAACTGCTGTCTTCACTGCCTAGAATATCTTTCAGAAAATTTTGGAGTGATGATTTGGTGGTCATGAATTTCTTCAAGTGTTCTTTATCATGGGAGTATCTTATTTCTCTGTCACTTTTGAAAGACAGTTTTGCAGGTTATAACAATCTGGGTTGGAGGTTGTTTTCTTTTAGGGCTTGAAGTACTTCACTCCAAGCTCTCCTTGACTTAAAGATTTGTGTTGAACTTGAAAGAGTTAATTTAAACTCGGAGGTATGATAGACACTGTGAAATGATAGGAAACCACTGAAGAGTAAAGGGCTTCTGGGATGTGGGAAAAGAGAAGGGAACGAAGGAGAAATTTTGTATGTATGTATATACAGGATAGAAAACATGGTTGTTCTTCTGTCTTCTATTTCTATGCTGAAAGAAACTGTCAATGAGTCTTTGGTTGACCAGTATTGCATGTTTATATCTGTTTTCATGAGAAGCCACTTTGAAGATATCAATATGTAATACAACCACCATTGTTAATTCCCTACCACTTTGTTTGTAACTCTGTATTGTCTGTATTGTGCTTGTGATATGTTGTAAAATGTTGTATGTCTGTTAATGTTTCCCTCCTTTTATCTTTAAAATAAAATAAAATAAAATAAAATAAAGATTTGTGTTGAGATGTCTGCTGGGCTTTCCTTCATATGTGATTTTTTTATTTTCTTTAACAACTTTTAGTATTCTGCTCTTGTGTTGAATTTCTAGAATTTTGACTGTTATGTGCCTTGGTGTGTTTTGTTTTTTGTTTTTTGTTTTTTTTAATCATGGCTAATTGAGGTCCTATATGCATCAAATATCTGTAGGTCAAATTGTTTTTCCATGGTTGGGGAGGTTTCAGCTATTGCTTCTGTGAACAGATTTTTATAACCTGCATGTTGTCTTCTGATGTTTTCATTGATTCCAATTAATCTTATATTATTTTTCTTTGTGTCATTTATCAGCTGTTGGATTGATTTTTCATGGTCCATGGCTATTTTTAAGAAGTCTTTCATTTGATGATAGCCAACCCTGTTTTCCAAATCTGACGTTTTGTCTTCACATTGGTTGATTCTGCTGTGTATGCTTTCCATGCAAGTTTTAATCTTCTGGATATTTGCTTGTATCTTTTTTGTTTTGTTTTGTTTTGTTTTTTTGGTTTTGGTTTTTGGTTTTTCTCCGGTACCGTGAACTGAACTCACGACCTTGCACTTGTGAGGCAGGCACTTTGCTGCTGAGCTAAATCCCCAGCCCCGCTTGTATCTATTGTATGGCATCCAGTTTTTTCTTCTGTTGGACATCCATGGTTTCCCTAAGATCCTCCATTTTTTAAAATCTAGATCCACTGATCCACTGATCATTTCCCTCATTATGATAACCATCTCTTTAGCTATGTGTGTGATTCATTCTGATTGTTTTCATCTAGAGATTTATTCATTTTCTTTGTTACTTTTTCTGTTACCATTTCATAAAATTCAAGTACAAGGATTTTGATTTCTTCTACCTCAGTTTCCCATGGCCTTGCTTTTGGCAAATTGAGTGCTTTTGAGTGTATGTGTTTTCTTATTTTCTTTCTTTCTTTCATTCTTCCTTCATTCCTTCTTTCCTTTCTTTCTTTGAGACAAGCTCTTACTATATAGTTCAGGCTGGCCCTAAACTCACTATGTAACCCAGGCTGACCTTGAACTCACAGCAGTTCTCCTGCCTCAGCCACCCAAGTGCTGGGATTACAGATGTGCCCTACCACACTCAGCTTTCATTTTCTATTTTTCTTTTTGTTTATTTGTTTTCTGCACTCAGGCTTGAAAGTTACTTGAGGTAAGTAGTTTTATCACTAGTATTAAGACTTCTTTAGGTAATGGCTACTTTTCAGAGCTGTCTTCTAAGTGTAGCTGGCTTTTGGGTTTTGAGTCAGTCCCAGGATCCCACCTCTTCTATTTATGAGGGATGAGAGGTTGCAGCCTATTTGACCTGGCACCCAGTTCTTGGTACTGGACTACAGCACTATTATTTATTGTTTGCAGGCAATCTAGGTATTGGCATACAAGGAGGATCAATTGATCGCAACAGCTATGTCACCTTGGATTAGTACAATCAGTGGCTAGAATGTGAGTTATCATCTCCCTTGATAATGCTGTTTATGAATTCCTGTTTTCTCTAAGTATAAGTTTGGAAATTATGGGGGTTGATCATTATTCTCTTCCTCTTCTAGTTCTCCTTCCATGATGGACTTGCTAGCCACTGTACTTTATCCCAGAGGTGCATGTCATTAGTAGAATTCAGCTAGCCTCAGCCCCTCCTTCCTCTCTTGCCTCTCTTAAAAGGAGCATTCTGGTGGGAAGACTGAAGTTTCTCACTACAGAGTGCTTGGAATGCATTTCCCAATGTATACAAGGCAAAGTGATAAATGTTGTGAGCACCAAGAGTCCCCAACATCAGTGACCCAAAGATTGTAAATTATACTTTCTGACAATCTGAAATTCTGCAGTTTAGACTCAGAATATTTAGGGTCCACAGTTGTGTACTCCATAATTCTAAGATTCCATCAGTCGGTTTCCAGAAACCTCTTGAGATATGCAAGTAGATCAAGGTGATTTGATTCTGACGTTGGGTTGTTAACCAGAATGTTGATAATAATACAGCTGTGAATCTATAGCTTCATGCTTGTCCCCACTTTGATGTTCAGGAAGCAGCCCAGTAACGGATCTCACACTGTTACCCATAATAATGGAAACTGAGAAATATTAGAAACATACTATTATAAAATTTGCATTGTTCAGGGGACACTTCTTAATCTCAATCACCAATTGTTAAAGTGCAAAAAATTTGGTGTGCTTATGTATATTTAAATGTTGCATGACTGTGTGTATGTGTATTGTAATTATTTTTAAAAACAGAGATTCTAGGTTGATAAAAACAGAAATTCAGATTTTATGCTCAAGTGTGCCACTTCAAAGGGGATTTACACTAAATATTTGAGCATGGCCTGGTGATTCTGAAAACAGGAGTGTGGACATTCAGCAGATCCCAGAACCAACAATGAGAGCCTCACCATCAGAAACCAATGGCTGAATTAATTGTTATGTCTTTCCTGAGAAGCAAATACAATCATACACTTGTGTGCATATCTTTGTATGAACACACCCATACTCATGGTTAAGTGCTAATCCAAAGCTATGGCTCTTCAGAAAATGTTTGTCTCCCTCATACCTATCATTACAAAGCCTGATTCCTGATCCCCAGCCTGCATCTGAGACAGAAACAGTGGCCTATCAAGGTGGGGGCATAGACAGTGATGCCCTAGAGACCATGGTGTGCATGAGTGGATGAGAGTGTGGATAAATGTGAGGGGAGGAGACCAGCTCAGTTGCCTGCCAGGGCTCTGAGAACCATGGAGAAGGATGTTCAGATTTTATAAAAACATAGATTTTTGTGATTTTATTTGAGAAAAGGACACATTTCAACAATCTTCTCCAGACACCATGGGCACAGGTCTGGGCTCAAGTACTTGCTTGCCTCCAACATTCTGTGAGAATTTAGAGACTTAAGAGTCTCATGTTCTACCAACTGAGCTATCTGGGCAACACAAGAATTTAGAGACTTAAGCCTTCTAAGTCTTAGCTTTGTCACTTATAATCCCATTCCCCTTGCATGTGTTTTTGAACATTAAGTGAGCAGATCATAGATTCTCTTCAGGCAGAGCTGACATAATACTGTTCAATAAATAGCTGCTTTTCTCTGCCTCTCATCTTAGTTCTCTTTAATTCATGTGTTTGAATACATAATAATTGCGTTCATCTTGAGGAATTGGTACATACAGATCTTTATTTTTTATACACCTTTAGCAATATCGCATCAGTCTGTTCTGTTTCTTGTCCCTTTTATCCCTCCTGTCCCTTCCCTTCCCCTCATATTTTCACCCTTTCCATGAGCCCTCTTACTCAGTAGCCCTTCCTACCCACTAGCGCCACCCCCAGAACGACATTTCCCTTGCCTCTCCCTTTCTGCTTTCCCTGGCAAAGCCTTAACTCAGCGGGGCAGAAAGCTCATGGTGTAATTCCGTGGGATGGTGGCAAAGCCCACGTGTTTAGGGGACACATCAATGTCCTGGGTCGCCTGGGGGGACTTGAATCGGAAGTTCTGCAAGATGGAAGTGAGGAAGAGAAAGAGCTCCATTCTAGCCAGGCCTTCTCCAAGACAGTACCGTTTTCCTGATGAAGAGAAGGAGTGTCAGGGGTGAAGGAAATCCTCTGCTGCTAATCCCAAATACCCAATTGTATTCTGCAAGGGAGAAAGTCTATAATAATTTGGTCTGAGAGTCTTTGAAGAAAAGGTCTAATGCTCGCAGATCCTCAGGTTTCCTCGTATATGAAGTGTGTAAGATTCATGTCAGGCTACAGAAATGGGAAGTTTAGGTGCCCTCCCCATGGTTTCTGTGCTGTCAGCTCCTTGCTAAGAGTCTGAAGAACTGTTTGTGTGTCCTTGGGGAAAAAAACCCCTGACCCACTCTGAGCCTTGATTTTATCTATCTCTGAAAAGTGTTTAATCATCCCTTCACTTTAGGTACAGGTATTTGGTGATTAGGAGTTGCTGAGCTTGCATTTGCTTGGCTGGAAAGTAGATTCCAAGAGGAATTTCCTAGCTGGAGGACACTAGAATGAACCTCAGAGAGGGGAGCTGGGATGAACTGCCTCTGTTGAATTGAGAGGTTGCTTGTCAAGAAACACTGCACACTTACCAACGGAAAAAGGCATAAAAGCATCATTCTTCTTAAAATGTCCCTTCTCATCCAGGAAGTGCTGGGGGTTGAAATCTCCAGGATTTGAGAAGAACTTAGGGTCTCTCAGCACAGAACCCAGGACAGGGAACACTTCCGTGTCCTGGAAGGGAGCAAAAAGGCCAATTGATAAACGAGTTAATAGTTGAGCATGCTGGAAGTACAGAAGTATTAAACAGGAAAATGAAAGTGCCCCAGGTGAAGATATATGGGAAGCATGGGAGTTGTGGTCCTCTGAGAGAGGAGATTTGGGGGACATGAAGTTAATTTACCAGCAATGGGAAATTTGTGGGTCATAGGAGTGAATGTTTATTGAGAATGGATGTGTGAGTGACAAGACAGTGCCCTTTGGGGCAGGATGTTGGGGAAGGAAGGTATGGAAGTTTGAGGGTCTTTATCTTTGGGGTATGAAGTTAGAAGTATGCAGGTCATGTCTTTCATGACTTGCACATTTTAATTCCCTGAGGCAGTATACTTAGGAGACTTGGAGTTATATCCAACGGGACATGTGAGGGACATGAGATTCCTGTCTCTGAGAAACAAGTTCTATTGGAAGTGGGTTTGAAAGGTAGTTTCTGGGGCAAGGGATTTACTTCAGTGCAGCATAAAATGTGAGGCAGACATGAAAACCACAACTCTCTGAGGGGAACAGCTGAAGAGACAATGTTGTTAAGGAAGTCTTTGATTGAAGGCATGAGACAGGGGCTATGAATCTTCGGATGGGAATAGGTATCAGGGTCCCAGGTGTGGGATGGAGCTCCCTCTAGGCTTGGCAGTGCAGTACCTTTGGGAGCAGAAAATCCCGAAACTTAGTGTCCTTGGTGACCCTGTGAGCCAGGCCCATGGGGATCATATCTCCAAATCTTTGGATCTCATGGATCACTGCATCTGTGTAAGGCATCCTGGCCTTGTCCTCAAACATGGGATGCCGATTTCTGCCAATCACCTGGTCAATTTCTTCATGTATCTTGGCTGCAGGAGAGGGAAGACTGTGTTTAGTTTTCCAGGTGGCTCAGAACAGGAAGATAGACCAAATCTGAAAAACTAGATATACGACATAGATCTATTTGTGACATGTATGTGGATCATCAAAATAAACACTGCCCATACACCTTTCTGGAGCAGGATCCTTTTAACTTGCTCATTCCAGAATCATAAAGGATCCCTAAAGAAGGAGACTCAGGGAGTGGTCTGCAGAACAGGTGATGGATCCTCTGGAGTTTACACAAGCACTTTAGCAAAAAATTCAGTTTCTATGAATATTTTAATGGCTAGGGAAAATTGGCTGGCTCCTCTTAGGGGAATGTCTCCCTGCCTCTGCAGGGTGTTTCTGAAGGTCCAGAGACCTTGGAGAGGTAGTGACGTTACAGAAGGTTCAGAGGAGCTTCAAGGTCTGTGATCTGACCCTAGCCCTTACAGACTTACCTTCCACATTTGGGTGCTTCATGAGCAACAGAAAGCCATAGCGCAAGGTTGTGCTAACTGTCTCTGTGCCAGCAAAGAAGAGGTTTAGCGTGGTCATGACTAGATTCTTCATGTGGAACTCTGTATTGGATTTATTCTCCTATAAGGAGAAAATCTATTAGGGTGAATCCATTTAGCACCTATTTGGAGAGTTTCTTGGGGTTATTTCTTTGAACCTAGCTCTCTTGGGTCTGGATCTAAAGTGGGGAGAGAGACCCTAGATCTGCCAGGTTCTTGCCATGTTTCATTCACTTGCTCAACTTGATACCTCTGTCCAAAATGCTTTCTCATGATCTGTACTTGGCCAACCATCTGTTTTCAGTTTCCTTGTCTTTTTATAGGTAGTAAGAATATTTAGGAAGAGAGTGACAGAGATTGTGAGAAAAGATAGATAGACAGACAGACAGAATATTTAGTGACAACATCCTACTCATTCCCAGTTTGAAGCTTCCTGTAGAGGAAACATCACTGAATGCCTTATAGTCATACCTTATTCCTCACACATGGGAGACATGCAGATTTTGGTAGGTACACTTTATGGAAAGAGTTTTAAGGCAGGTCACCTGTCCACATAGGTTTATCTAATGAATAGACTTGGAAAGATTAGAAAGCCTGGCAGCCAAAAGTATTATAGTTAGTGCCAGAGAGGATTTGAGCTATATTCCATTTCTTCCTTGCTGTGTGACTTCAGGAAAGTCACTTACACTCTAGGTTTCAGTTTCCCTACTTGTGTGTAAGGTCATGATAAGATATATACAAACTACTGAGGCTAGCTCTATGAAGCACTTACAATTATACTTGGCATGTGCCACTGCTGTAGAGGCAGTTGCCATTATGCTTTGCATGCACATATCCCACCTGTGCATAAAGACTCACAGATAGAACAGTGATGATCAACTATCATGGGCATGGGGAAGATCACTATGATCCGAGCTGATGGAAAGAGATCTCTGTCCTTCACCCCAGAATGACTCCTTCTGCCTAGTTTCAGACCTCCTCACCCTGGCTGTTGCATGTACCTTCTGCATTTGGATGAGAAAAGAGTCAATGAAGTTTCGTGGCGAATTGGGATCCAGTGTGCGCTGGTTTTGCTCCACCTTCTTGACTATGAAGTCCTCCAACCCCCGCAGTTCCTTGAAAGCCTGTTGCTGTGGTCCTGGAAGGTGCTTCATTACTGAATAGAACATCTCATAAAGCTGTGGAGAGAGAGAGAGGGCAGAAGAGAATGACAACTGGGAGTGGAATCTGTGTCCGGGCAAAGAATGCACTGGCTTCACAGATCTGTCCAAGTGTTTAGGAATTTAGTTGAGGCAGAAGGGAAGATATATTTAAGTTTTCATGTGTTATGTATGAGGGCTACTGTCTAGAAATTTAAGTGAGATGGGACACTTACCTAGTCTTCAGATGAGGATGATAATGGCACTGACCAAAATGTTAGGATATTCAAGTGAGATTGTGTAAGAAGACATCTCGATGTTGAGCTTCTCAGGTGTATTCTGGTGAACCTACCTGGGTGGATAAGCATTCTCGAGGGCTTTGTTGGAAGTAGGTGTCCAAATACTTTTAGGATTTAGATATGACTTCCATACAGATGCTCAGCCATTTTGGGTGCAGGTTTTAAGGTCGGGGTTACACTTACTGAGGTGTTTATGTGTTAAGGTATGGACATAATAGTGGTATCCCATGAGGACAGTTGAAAAGACAGTATTGAAGGACACTTCTGTATTTGGAGACAATATATATAGATATGTGTGTGCGCTTAAAGTTTTGCTTGTGCTATCTGTGCAAGTGTGCATGTATTTAAATGGACTGAATGGAATTTTTTGTCTAGGAATGCCAGCCCCCTGGTTTGAGACACATGTATGGTGGTCAAATGCTTGTGATGGATTGGATTTTATAGCATCCAGTGTTTCATTATTCAGAAAGCTGGTGGAGATAGTCACTTCATGGGTTAAGAAATTCAGCTAACTGTTTAGGAATATCTGTTTGAGGTTTGTCCAGGGAACATTTGCCCAGGAGAGAAAACTGACTGAAGGGTATGCATCTTGGATGCAGACTCTCAGAAATATCTAGTGAGAGATTCAGGTATCCTCAGAGAGTGTGCTGGGTACCTGTCCTGGATCCTGATGTAACTGTGAAGTGTATAGTAGTGAGAGCTAGATTTGAGTGGACTTTAGAAGAGGATGGGAGATTGGGGTACTATGCAGAGGTGTGGTCAGCAGTAGGTGTGCTGAGGTAAGGATGTAGTAGGGCCAGGCTGGAACATGTTACCTGTCCAGTGTAGGTAGCTGTGAACTGGAAGCTTCCCAGCATCATGCGCAAAAGTGACAGGAACTCTTTGTCTTCATAGTCAAAGCGGTCCCCAAAGACAATGGAGTTAATAACATTGGAGACTGCTCGGCTCAGGTAGAAGGTGGGATCTATGAAAGCACCTGCAAGGAGAGACACAGACAAGCAGAGGCACAAATTAGGGGATAGTCCAATGGGCTCTCACTTCAGCCTCAGGATTTGAGCAGACTACTTACTCCTCCAGTGATTAGAAAAACTTCCAACATGATACAGAGAATCGAGAATAATGATGTTGTCTCTCACTCTTCCTCCAATGCCATAATGTGTAGTTCTTGACCTTGGGTTTTCCTACATCCTATGGAAACCTGAGTTTCCCTGCTTACCTTGTGTTTCCCTGAAGGACTCAATAAGAAAACCCGTCTCTTCTTGGATTCGTTCCTCAATGCCACGCTTTCCCATGCCGAAGTCCCTTAGTGTGGTGATGGAGAAGCGACGGAGGTGCCTGGCACGCTCCCAGTGGCTGAAGACCACACCTGAGGATGTGAGCACAAGGAAGGGGAGAGATTAGAAAGGGGCAGAGAGAGACCACACATCTCCTTTATGGAGGCTCCTGAGAGGAAGAGTGGTTTTAAGGGGGAGGGAGTGGGAGACTGATGGCAGCAGAGCCACAGCCTGAGTGAAAGAGCAGGACAGATACAAAGTGAGTCAGGACAAAGAAATGTCCAGAAAGAGATAGACCCCAAGTGGGAAGAGAAGATAGAAGGGAAGAGGGAAACAGAGACGAAGGCAGATAAAGGAGAAACAGAGGTGTGCCATAGGAGGAAGCAAAGGAAAGAGGTAATTTGAAGGAATGACAGAGGACAGAGGAAAGAGAAGTGAAATTTTGGATACACGAAACTAGAAATAAACACGATAAATAATCATGTTTTCTCCATTGAGCTGGAGAAGAGAGCGAGGCAGGAAGAGAAAGACAAAGAGTATGAAAAGGGAATTTTTACACTGAAACACAGACAAGGAGACTTTGAAAGAGATTCTGAGAGAGAAAAGGGATTCTTAAACAGAAAGAAGAAAGGAAGGAGAATAAGAAAAAATCATGGGGAGGCACAGAAGTTGAGGTTAACAAAAAGGTCACAAATTTATAGATGCCAGATTCCAACAAAAAAATCTCAAGAGGTTCTAAGAGATAGACAGGTCCAGGGAAAGAACCAACATTTAGTGAGAGAGAACAGGGAGACAGGGGCAGGGAGGCATGGAGAAATTAGGCACAGAAAGTCTAAGAGAGCTCAGAAGCTGGTATAAGGAGAAGAAACAATGAAGAGGATACAGAAAAAATGGTCAGGTGAAGCCCCTGCACAACCTTAAACAGGTAAGTCTGGGGAAGAGCCGAGGAAACAGAAGCCACCAAGTCTTTCTGGACACATTCCCTCATGAGGGGTCCTCCTCACCATAGCCTTTGAAGAGCCAGTCAAAGGTGGCCTGCTCGCCTCGTCCACTGAATTCCTCAGCTTGATCCACCAGAGCTTCCTTGACTGCATCATATCCACACAGCACCACGATCCGGCGGGGACCCATGTGGATGGTGAACACTGGGCCATAGCGCTCTCTGATCTGATGAAGGTGGGTGAGAGTGGTTAGGGAGGCCAATTGCTAAACTGGCCCCCTACCAGAAATCAGGAACTGGAATGCATTTCTCCAAGACCCTGAGAGGGAAGGAGATGAACATTCCACTCTTTTCCCCATCCAGTACCTGGAGGCTGATCCTTTAAAACTCTCCTATCTTAAGACATCAGCTCTCTAGTCAATCCTTGGCCACAAATCACCAGCTCATGGGTAGTTCCTCAATCACCTCATTCTACCCTTCCCCTCCTTGGCAATACCTTCATGAGGGAGTTGTACATATTCTCTGGGTCCAGCTGCAGGTAGTTCCTGATGAAGGGCAGTGGTGTGGGTCCAGGAGGCAGCTTCCCCTGTAGCTTTCTCTGCTTCCAGACAGACATCAAAACCATTACACTGAGGAAAGCCAGCAAAGCCACAAGAAGTAGCCCTGAGGCCAGCATCGTGGCTGTTGGGGTGACAGTAAGATATCAAAGACCGAGACTGCCTTTATATTACCTGAGAGAGAAGGGTGACCTTTGGTCCTGATTATGTAATTGTTTCATTTCACCTCCTATATATAGACCCCCTCATGCACCCTCCCTAGATTGCAACACAGTAATCAGAGTGGGAGAGGTCTTTGGGCTGATATACAATACTGGCCTCCAGGTGGTTTGTGGGACATCAGGAGGGAGTACCATAGGGCTGTGGGTTGGTGGAGGCAAAAGCTATACTCCAGACCTTAAAAGGTTGGGACATTTGCATGACTCAGTACCTGAGTTCTGGGTTTGGCATACCAGATTGACCAGGACCTTGTAGATGTGAATTTGAGGGTGGACAATAGAATCCAAGAATTTGGATTTCATTTGGCTGAGACAGGGAGTATGGCTGTGGGTTTTGGAGTCCTTGGTGAGGAGAGACCTAAGTTTAAGGGACTCAGGGAAAGATTCCAGGGTTATGGATGTGAGGATTCTGGGGTAAGAAGGACCCAGAGCTATGCATGAAATTACTGGAAGGAGAAGTGTATGGGAAAACCTAAGAGGCTCTTGATGTGGGGCCTGCTTTGCTTTGGCTCTGTGCTATTTTTTTCTGCCCTGAATCCTTGAGGTAGCCCCAAAGTGAGGCCAAAAGTGATGCCATGGAATGTAGAACCTCCCACTGCCCAGGTGTGGCTGCAAATGAGGTGGAAGTGGAAAGTCACATTTTAGTGGAAGTTTACAGAGAACTGATAAAGAGTCACAATTGACAGAGGGAGCTGTGGGGAAAGAACAAAATGCAGAGAACAAAGTGAAGAGAGGAAAGATGTTTTTTGACTTGGGGAGGATGAGATGGGGAGCGGGTTTAGCATAGGTATCAGATATCAATTTGTGAAATAGCAATTCATGTAATGTCAATAGCCAGCCTATATCTGGGATGGCTTCAGGCCTGCAGCGTTTTTTAAATTTTATTTTAAAATTTTTTTGGTTTGGCATTTCTTCCTTTTTTTCTTTTTTTATTTCAAAGAAAAATTTTTTCCTATGTAAAGACCAGTTGTTATGGTTGATACATTGTGTCAACTTGGGGAGTCTAGAGGTTTGGCTAAGTAACTCAGCAATTCTACATCCTGGGGTGCAAAGGACATGCCCTTCCAGCTCTAGGATGTTGTTCATTGTGTCAATGTGAGATGTTTAGAAGGTTAACTATGTGAGTGCTGTCCCCTGGGTGGGGGTAGCCTGCTTACAATATAAGGAAGGGAAAGAGGCTTGTATGCACTGCCATTCCCCTCTTTGCTCTTGTTGCTTTGCTATCTTCTGCCTTGGTGCCAGCCAAGTGTGGACTCAAGCCTCCACAAATTGTAAGCTAAATAAACCTTTCCTTCTTTCATTGTGGGTGTTTGGTTTTTTTGTCTCGTCAACAAGAGAAAAGTAACTAAGACACCAGTTTTATTTTTTTATTTTAAAAAATTAAAAACTGACAAAACAACAATGAATACAAAATCAAAACAGCACAAAACAACAAAAATAATACGTGACCCCAAGACCAAATGATAGAAATTTACAGTGGTTGCTAAATTATATACTGCTATCTTCAACAAAGTTGCTTAGTTCATTAGACATAAGAATGTAAGATTAATCAAACAAAGACAGTAACAGATAAAAAATAATAATTAAAAAAACATTGGAAATTATGCAGAGCTTCACCATACAAAATGGTAGCAGTTCAACAATGGTTCTTATACTGCATATTATTTTCAGGTTTTCTAATTACCAAATTATTATTTTCAGTCATTCTAATTACCAAATTCAAGCATGTAAAACTGGTCAAGAAAAAAGAAAATTTTAAGCATTGACTGTTCCTCACAATAAACTACAGACATCAGCAATACACCTATTCCAGCTATCCTTATATATACATATGAATTTTGTTTTCCATTTTTAAAAAAGGCCAACATAACAAAAACAAATACATAAACAAAACAGCATAGAGAGCAATAAAAATGATACAGAATTTCAAAACATGGTGATAGGATATTGACAATGATTGCTATATTACACAGTGTCATCTTCAAAATGGTTGCACATATACCCAGATACAGGCACGCAAGACTGATCAAACAATTACACATTAACAGTTCCTTTCAACAAGCCAACAGATATTAGCAGTACAATTATCCAAGCTATCCTGTGTGTATATATATATACATATTTTCCCTCTTCTTTCTTTTTTCTTTCCCCTCCTTCATCCCAGTTACTCCTTCCTATTTGAGCAGTTTCTTTTCCCTTTCACAATATCTATTGTACCTTTCAGATTTTAGTTACTCTTTCAGGTTCTTACACTAGGGAGGAAATGCAATGTTTACACATATTAATCTGATTTATTTCACTAATGAGTATGGTCTCTAGTTGCATCCATTTACCAATGAAAGCCTCTAGTTTATTTCCCTTTATACCTGAGTAATACTCCATTGTATAAAAACACCACATCTTTTTATCCATTCCTCAGTTGGATATTTGGGTTGTTTCCAAGATTTAGCTATTACAAATTGTGCTGCTATCAACATAGGTGCACATACATCACTGTGGTATGATGTTATCAGTTCTTCTGGAAAAATACTCAGGAGGGGAATAGCTAGGTTGAATGGGACCTGTAATCCTAGTTTCCTGAGGAATCTCCAGACTGATTTCCACAGTGGTTGCACCAGTCTACACTCCCACCAACAATGGAGAAGAGTTCCTTTTTCCCCACAGCCCTTTCAGCATTTTTTATTGGTTGATTTCTTGATGATAGCCATTCTTTCTGGGGTGAGATGGAATCTCAGTGATATTTTCATTTGCATTTCTTGAATGACTAATGACATTGAACATTTTTCATGTATTTATTTGCCATTTGTTTTTCTTCATGTGAGAAGTGTGTATTCATCACAGATGCCCATTTTTTGATTGGGTCCTTGAATTTTGGAGGCCTGAGTATTTTAATTCTTTATATGTTCTAGATAGAAGTTCTTTCTCTGAGGGACAAATGGCTAAAATTTTTTCCCAATTCGTGGGTTTTCTTTGCACCTTGTTGGTGATTTCTTTCTTTTTTATTTTAAAGATAAAAGAATGAAAACATATTAACACAGGGACATCCATTTACAAAATAGCACAAGAACAGTACAAGCAATACTGAATTACAGACAACTGACAGGAAATTAACAATGGTTGCTATATTACATACTGATAACTTCAAAGTGGTTACTCAGGAAAACAAATATAGACATGCAATATTGATCAAATAATTAATCATTAACTGTTTCTTTCAATAAAGTGATATAAGTCAATAGTACAACTATGTCAGCTATCTTGTATATACATATATACATAGTTTTTCCCTTCTTTCTTTTCTCTTTTCAATCATCCCAGTTGATCCTTATTATTGAGCAGTTTCCTTTTGTTTAACAACATCTATCATACCTCTTAATTTTTATTCACTCTTTCAGGTTCTTACACTAAGAGACAATATGTTGCTTACACAGGCAAGTCTGATTTATTTCATTTGTGAGTATGGTCTTTAGTTGTGACCATTTACCTATAAAAGCCTCGAGTTTATCATTCTTTATACCTGAATAATATTCCATTATAGAAAAATGCCACAATTTTTTTATCCAATCCTCAGTGGATGAACAGCTGGATAGCGTCCACGATTTAGCTATTAAAACTTGTGCTGTTATAAACATGAGTGCACATATATCACTTTGATATGATGTTTTCAGATCTTCTGGGAAAATACCCAGAAGGAGAATAGCTGGGTTGAATGGGACCTCTAGATTTAGTTTGCTGAGGAGTCTCCAAACGGATTTCCACAGTGGTTTCACCAGTCTGCATTCCCACTAGCAGTGAAGAATTCATATTTCTCCACAGCTTTGTCAACATTTTTATTGGTTGATTTCTTAATGCTAGCCATTCTTACAGGGGTTAGATGAAATCTCAATGTTTTCTTTTGCATTTCTCAAATGACTAATGATGTTGAACATTTTCTCATGTATTTATTTGCCATTTCTATTAGTTTATCTGAAAAGTGTGTATTCATCTCAGATGCCCATTTTTGGATTGGGTCTTTGATTTTAAGGGGCGGATTTTTTTTAATTCTTTATATGTTCTAGATAGACCTTTGTCCGAGGGACAGCCAGCAAAATTTTTTCCCAATTTTTGGGTCTTCTTTTTACTCTGCTGTTGATTTCTTCAGATATGCAAAAACTTTTCAGTAGGATGACATCCTAGTTGTTGATTCTTTGAAGTGTTTCATGGGCAGTTTGGTTTTTGTTCATGAACTCTCTGCCTACCCATGTGTCTTCAAGATTTTTATCTACTTTCTCTTCTAATAGATTTAGGGTTTCTTTTTTAATATTGAGATCTGTGATCCATTTTGACTTGAGTTCGGTGCATGGTGATAGGCTTGGGTCTATTTTCGGTCTTTGGCAAATGGCAAGCCAGTTTTTCCAGCACCATTTACTAAAGAGGCTATCTCTTTTCCAGTGAGTTTGTTTGGCCCCTGTGTCAAGATAAGGTGGATGAATGTGTTTGTGATTGTATCTGTTTATTCCAGTCTGTTCCATCAATCCTCAGGTCAGTTTTTAGCCATCACCATGTTGATTTTATTACAGTAGCTCTGTAGTATAATTTCAGATAAGGGATTGTGATTCCACCTGACTTGTTTTTGTTGCCCAGGATTGCTTTTGCTATTCTCGGTCTCTTCTGGATCCAGAAGAATTATAGGAATGTTTTTTCTAGATCTGTAAGGTATGCTAATGGTATTTTAATGGGAATTGCATTGAATCTGTACAACAAGATTTTTTGGTAGTATGGTCATTTTTACAATGTTGGTTCTTCCTATCCATGAGCTAGGAATAGCTTCCCATTTACTGAAATTCTCTTCAGTGTCTTTTTCAGAGTACTGTAGTTTTCATTGAATAGATCTCTTACTTCTTTTGTTAGATGGATTCCTA